GAATGTAGTACCTTAATCTCTAGGCCACCTGCTGACCCTGCAGATAGCAAATTTTAGTAAATGGGACTTTTCCCATGTTTCTTCAAACTGGTATCACTCTTAGAGTTACCTAAATTGGATTAATCTTGGCTTGATACAATAATGTCTCAAGGAATGACTTCACTTTGAAAAACAGGATGGTAAATTCATATTTTGTAAAGTTTTATAACTGAAATTTGAGATATTTTTTTCTAAAGAATTATTTAACTTTATTTATTATTATTATTTTCCAGTTTGATCAGAGAGAGACAGAGAGAGAGGGAAAGTGAGGAAGCAAGCTACCAGGTCCAGGACCCGAATCATGGTCAGCCATGTGAGAGTACAATGCCCTTCATCATGCCACTTGCCAGCCCCGAGATGTGGGTCCCCCCCCCCGCCTCCCAGGGTGTGTGCATGCTGGAGAGATACAGAGAGAGGCAGCGAGAGTGGTCATACCACAATCTCTTCTCCATTTTCCTCCAGGGATTTTGGGCATGCATGCACACATGGCCAGTGTGATTTTCAAGCTACCAGGTCCAGGAATTGAACCACTGTTGGCCACGTGGAAGTCCAGTATCTTAACCACTATGCCACTTGCTGACTCAGATGTGGATTGATTTTAAGAGAGTGAGTATAAAAAGCTCAGATTTCAGTAAGTGTAGATGGGACTTTTTTTTTTTTTTTTCTTTCCCGGTTTTGCTGTAAGGCACATGTGATTATTGGAAAGAGAAAGAGGGAAAGTGTGAGAAAGCATCCCCATGGGGGATGGCCATCTGTAATCCCTTCTTTATTTTCCTCAGGATTTTGAGCACATGCCTGCACGTGCCTGGTGTAATTTTTAGGCTGCTGGGACTGGGACTCACACCACAATCAACCATGTGGGAGTCCAGTGCTTTAATCACCTCAGTTCCTGCTGGCCTTGTAATTTAACATTTTATGTGTACACTTCTTTGTGTTAAAATAGTTGACATACTAGTAAGTTTAAATGTCTCTGTTCTATTTCATTATATATTGATGTTTCATGGTCTGTGGTGTACATACAGTTTTTAAAAAATTGACCTTTAGAGAAGATACTGAATTTAAAAAAATCTTTTATAGAGCAGTTTTTAAACTTAGTGGTTTCAGTTTTCATATAGCATCACTCAGGTGTAACAGTCATTAAATCATGGAAAATGTATTATGAAAAGGTATACATAAATTTTAGAATTTTTTTGTACAGCAATAAACTTGTACCATAATTCCTCTTTTTTTTTTGGAGAGGTTTTCGCTATAGAGTGCGTGCACTTGCCAGATAGACAGAGAGAGACAGAGAGACAGAAAGCGAGAAATCACCACCCGGGGGGATGGCCACACCACAATCCCTTCTCCTCCATTCTCCTCTCAGGATCTTGGGCATGCATGCACATGCACCCAGTGTGAGTTTTAAGCCACCGGGTCCGAGACATGAACTGCGGTCGACTACATGGGAATCCAGCAACATAGCCATTATGCTAACTGCTGGTCCCGTACTGTAATTCCATTTTTTAAAGGAATTATTTAACTTTATTTATTTTAATTTGACGAGAGAAAGAGCGAGAGAGAGAAAAAGTGAAAAAGCAAGCCACCAAGTCCAGGGCTTGAACCGTGCTTGGCCATGTGCGAGTCCAACACCCTTAACTACCACGCCACCTGCTGGCCCCTGTAATTCCATTTTGCTGTGAACTGTTTGAAGTCATTTTGTATATTCTTGTTCTGCTTTGAATTTAATTTTACTGTTTCATGTGGGGTGAAGTCTGTTTTATTGCATCAAGTAGTGGCCTACTTTACTTTTATAATGATCTTCTGAGGGGGACCAGCAGGTGGTGTGGTGGCTAAGATGCTGGACATTCCCACATGGCCGACCATGGTTCAAATCCTGAGTCTGGTGCCTTGCCTTTCCTTCTCTCTCTCTCAATCTCTCTTGTCAAATTAAAATAAATGAATAAATAAAATTAAATAAATTATTCTTTAAAAAATAGTCTTCTAAGATACAAATTACATGTTACACAGCTCAACATTGAGAGTGTACAATTTATTTGGTTTGTAGCATATTCAGAGTTTTGTAGCCATCTCCACAATCAATTTTAGAACATTTTTGTCAGAAAGAAAACCTATACCCCTTGGGACCAGCAGATGGTGTAGTGGTTACGTTGCTGGACTCCCACATAGCCGACTGCTGTTCGAGTCCTGGACCCAGTTGGTGGCTTCAAAATCACAGTGGGCATGTGTGTGTGCGAGCCCAAGATCCTGGGAGGAGATGGAGAAGGAAATCTGACTGGCCCTCCCCATGATTTCTTGCTTTCTCTCTCTCTCTGGCAAGTGCATGTGCCCTATAGCAAAAATCTCTCCCTAAAAACAAAAGCAAAACAAAACCCTAACTACTAATGACTTAGTAGTCATTCCTGTTCCTCCCAACCTGTTCAAGATGTAGGTTAATCTTTCTGTATCTATAATTTACCTATTCCTGACAGTTCATTTAAGTAGAATTATATATTTTCATGAATGACTTATTTAACATAATGTTTTCAAGTTTCATTCATGTTCTAACATGTATTAGTACTTTATTTTCTTTTATTACTGAATATTCAATATCAGAAAAAGTTTTACATTATTTCACTGTCTCCCTTGTTACAGAATACTTTTAATTACATTATTTTGACCTTACACAAAGTATTTTTTGGGCGTATATTCTGGAACTACTTAGAGAAGTGGGGAAAGGGAGGAAGGAAGGAGCAGACACACACAGAAGTTAGCACAGGCTTAACAGTTACTTGTAAGACTTTGACCTCATGATTATTAAGAGTCATATGTTGAAAGGAGGCACTTGTAGATGCGGAGTGGGGACCAGCATTGACTATGTCGCTGGACTCCCATGTAGTTGACTGCGGTTTGAGTCCCAGACTCGGTGGCTTAAACTCACATGTGTGTGTGTGCCCAAGAACCCAAGAGGAGAATGGAGGAGAAGGGATGGTGGTGTGGCCATCCCCCCTGGGGGGTGATTTCTCGCTTTCTTTCTCTCTGTCTGTCTGAGGAACGTATGTGCCCTAAAGCAAAAACCTCTCAAAAAAAAAAAAAAAATGCGGAGTGAGGGGTCGGCCCTGTAGCACAGCAGTTAAGTGCTATGCATAGAAAACCTGATCCCACATGACTGATCATGGTTTGATCCCAGCCCTGGTGGCTTAAAAAAATTGGCTAGGGGTCAATAGGTAGCATGGGGGTTAAGGTGCTGGACTCTCATATGGTTGACTGCCGTTCGAGTCCTGGATCTGGTAGTATGCTTTCTCACTTTACCTCTCTGGTCAAATTAAAAACAATTATAATAAAAAAATACAGTAAATAATTATTTTATTTTTTAGATAGAGTTTTTTTCTTTTTTTTCCCCCGCATGCTATAGGGCATATGTGCTTACTGGAGAGACAGAGACAGACAGAAAGTGAGAAATCACCACCCCGGGGGGTTGGCCACACTGTAGTCCCTTTTCCTCTATTCTCCTCTTGGAATTTTGAACAGGCACGCACACATGCCCAGTGTGAGTTTCAGGCTACCGAGTCTGGGACTCAAACCTCAATTGGCCATGTGAGAGTCCAGCGACATAAACATTACACTGTCTGCTGGTCCCAATAAATAATTCTTTAAAACACACACACACACAAAGCAAAGAATGGGCTGGATGCATGTGCATGCATGACTGAAATTCTGCCAGAATGGAGAAATGGAGGGAAAAGGATTGTGCTATGGCCATGCTGCTTTGGGGGATTCTGTCTGTCTTTCTCACTGAAGAGTGCATGTGCCAACTGGCAGTTTTTAAAAACAAAACAAAACAAAACAAACAATTAGAAAAAAAAAGGAAGTGAGTATATTGTGGGGACTAGAATACATACTTAGAGAAGATGTTACATTAACAGGATTATGTATTATACACCTGCACCCTTCTCACCCACCTCTTTTTGGCTCCTCCCAGCTGGAGCTTTCTCTACCTTGCTGTGTCAGTTTACATGCTCCAAATTTTGTTGAAATCTTTGTTCTGTTGTCTCTTGCTTGTTCTTTAATGAGTTTCTATGTTTTTAGTTCTTTCTCTATAATTTTGGAGTGATCTGTGCCCAATAAAATGTTTGATAGGAAAATTATCATTTCTTTTAAGACTATATCTTTTCATTTCTTAAAATTAAAAAATAAAATACCACCTTATGTGATACTGGTATTCTATTCCTTTTGCAGGATGTATGCTAAATTTAGGATTATAACAATAAACTAGTAATTTCATAGTCTGAGAGGGTTTTATCACAACTATGGTATATTATTTGAATGGAGTATTCAGTTACAAAGATGTACTAGGCATATGTTGCAAAAATTGATTTTTGACATTTAGATGATAAAGGTGGCTTGATGCTAGTAGCAAAATCATGCAGATGAATAGTAGCAGAAGCATGCTTGACAGTAGTTCTTTTTTCATAATGTGAAATTCAAAACTGCTTTGAGATTGAATCATGGGTGAAGTTATTTTAGATTGTAGATTATTTGGAATGGAACTAACTGGTAAAGCCCTTCAGGTGCAGGGCTGGCCCGTAGTTAAGCCTTATCTGTGCAGATGGTTAGATTCCACATGACCTATCGTGGCTTGAGTCCTGGCTCTGGTGGCTTGGGAAAAAACATGCTGGACACGTGTCCACATATCCTGATGGGATAGAGAATGGAGGAAAGAGAATTGTGGTATGACCAGCCCCTGTTGGAGGGTATTTGCTCTCCTTGTTCACATGTCTTCTGGCAAAAATAACAATAAAACCCTTCAGATGCAAGATAAATTCATAGGCTAAACTTTATGTTATAGTATTTGAGGTATAAGAAGCACTAGTATATTTATTCTTAAATCATGTAGGGGAACCAGTGGTTAATCTTTTTAGTTATGTTATTTAATAGCCTGCTTTTCTCATATATGCTGATATGATCTTCCTGTATCCCCCCAGATAAACAGGGGTCACATGACAACAGAGGCTAAGAGAGCTGCAAAGATGGAAAAGAAAATGAACATTTTGCTTGGGGGTTACCAGTCTCATGCTATGGGGCTCATGAAACAGTTGAATGACTTATGGGACCAGATTGAGCAGGCTCACTTGGAGTTACGTACTTTTGAAGAACTCAAGAAACATGAAGATTCTGCTATTCCCCGGAGGCTAGAGGTAATGTTCTGTATTGCCTTGAAGCATTGTTTAAAGAATTATTAGCTTCATTTTCTTCCTTCTCTGCAGTCTGCTTGTGAAGGTGATAATTGTCAGGCTTTTTTTTTTTTTTTTTTTTTTTTTTTTGTGATTAAAAAAAAAGCTCGCCAGACAGACAGAGAGAGACATAGAGACAGAAAGCGAGAAATCACCCCCCAGGGGGGATGGTCACGCCGCAATCTCTTCTCCTCCATTCTCCTCTCGGGATCCTGGGCACGCACGCACACGCGCCCGGCGTGAGTTTTTTAAGCCACCGGGTCCGGGACGTGAACCGCGGTGGACGCCGGGGGAGTCCAGCTACATAGCCATTACGCTAACTGCTGGTTCCCTTGTCAGGCTTTTTTAAAAAAATTTTTTTGGAGACGTTTTTGCTATAGGGTGCTTGCGCTCACCAGAAAGAGAGAGACAGAGAGACAGAAAGTGAGAAATCACCTTCTGGGGGAATGGCCATGCTACAATCCCTTCTCCTCCTTTCTCCTCTTGGGATCTTGGGCACGCATGCACATGCACCCAGAGTGAGTTTAAGCCACCGGGTCCGGGACTTGAATTGTGGTCGGCTACATGGGAGTCCAGCGACATAGCCATTACATCAACTGCTGGTCCCAGTTGCCAGGCTTTTTTTGATAAGAGCCTAAAAGTTTTTGACTTTCTGATGTCGAATTGAAATGTATAGGTAGACTTAGCATGTGGTGGCTGTGATGCTTACCTTTCACTCATTTTTTGTTTTGTTTATAATATACTATGAAATGGAGTGATTTGTCCCCTTCAAACTTAATTGTGTTCCAGTCACGTAGCTTTATGAGGGGAAGTTAAATCAATGTCTGTTTTATAATTGTGATACTGAGAATGGATATGGTCATTCTAAAGCATCCATCCAGTTCCTTTAGTCAGATTTGTTTAGATTTATCTCCCAAGTGAGCATGGTGGTACCCACCTAATTAAAGGACAGTTAGGGCTTTTGTGGATTGGCGGATCTTGATTAAGACAATAATGGATTGTTTATTTGAGCGAGCAGCAGAAATTTTACAGTAAGATGGTAATCATCCAGCCAAACAAAAAAATGGCAGTAGTACTGGTTTTATAGCAAAAATCTTTGCTGTATTTGTTTCTCTTTAGGGAATATTTATATTAATCATGAACGAACTCAGCTGTTTCTAAGATCATTAGATCTTTTTAATTTTCATTGTACTTTGATATGAAATAATTATTAAATTTTTTTTTTTGTCTCCCAAGTGTCTAAAAGAAGATGTTCAGCGACAACAGGAAAGAGAAAAGGAACTTCAACATAGATATGCTGATTTGCTGCTGGAGAAAGAGACTTTAAAGTCAAAATTCTGAAGAATAGTTTATATTCTGTCATAGGATTAATTAATTGCTGGTTTTCATACTCTGGAAGGCTGAAACTGATGCTTATCTTCATTGACAAATTTACCCACCATCTGTGGTTTTGGTTGTTTATTTTCAGTGATATTGGTGTTACACAATCTGTGTGTAGACTTTAACTCCCCACGATGTACGTTTTAGGCTTTAAATTATTAAGGCGATCATTCTTTTAGCAGTGTCATGTTTGTAAGATTTTTTTAGTTTTGGCCTTTAATTTTAAAAGCCTGATTTTAAAGTGCTGCCTGTGAGTAAACTCTTGAATAAAAACAAAATGTAAAAAATTGATAATGTAGCCTTTTATTTGAAGCACTTAGATACTTGGAGCCCAGGCAGACTAGCAGTTATATATTCCGTATCACATGTGTAATGAGCACCTCTTGGCAATCAGAATGGTGATCCAGTATCTTGGCTTTGGGTTTTGTTAGCTTCAGCACAGGATGGTCATTTCGCTATGTATTGACAATATAGATTAACTTTTTTTTATTTTTAAACTACAGTTCCTTGTGATCCTTTTACCTTGGCCTCCCTGAGTGACTAGGACTACAGACAACTCATCTGGCCTTTAGGTCGGAACAGGAATTGAATGTGGCTCTCCCATTGTGGTTCCAGCCTTTGGAGACAGCTTCGTAGTAGTACACACTGCTGTGGATGGGCTACTTTTTAGAACCTCAAAATTTTTTTCAGTATCACTTTATGGAAGGTCTCTTCTCTACCAGCAATTAGGTCATTGGAAAAGTCATGATGCAATTTTTCTGTTTTTCTATGCAAAAATGCATCCTGACTTTTTTAATGATCAGAGTTTATGTACTAGAACTTAAAACTTTTATTTTATTTTTTTGAGAGGTTTTTGCTATAGGGCGCATGCGCTTGCCAGACAGACAGAGAGAGACATAGAGACAGAAAGCGAGAAATCACCCCCCGGGGGGATGGTCACGCCACAATCCCTTCTCCTCCATTCTCCTCTCGGGATCTTGGGCACGCACGCACACGCGCCCGGCGTGAGTTTTAAGTCACCGGGTCCAGGACGCGAACCACGGTCGACTACCTGGGAGTCCAGCGACATAGCCATTACGCTAACTGCTGGTTCCCAAAATTTTACTTTTTTTGACCTGTTATTTTCTTTCTTTCTTTCTTTCTTTTTTTTTTTTTTGACAGAGGCATTTTATAGTTAATTTCAAAGAGGCCATTAAGCTTATTAAAGCTCTGCATTTAGCTTAACAAGCCAGTTAATCATATAGATGTAGAATTTGAAGAATGGGGAGGCCTGGCAAGTGTCATTCATGGTGGTTAAGGATACTGACTCCCACATGGTTGACTGTGGTTCGAGTCCCAGACCTGATGGCTTGATTTCTCACTTTTACTCTCTCTCTCCCCCACCTCTGGTCAAATTACAAATAAATAATGTTAAATAAAAGAATTCTTTTTTTAAACAAATTGAAGAATGGGTGAAGGAGGGAAGATCTCATTTTATAACAACTCATATAAAATGACTTAGAGGCCAGCAAACTGGATCTCACGTGGCCAACTATGTAATTCTGAGCCCAGTGACTTGAGAAACATGCAGGATGTACATATGTGCATGCATGCTCAAAATCCCAAGAGGGAGAGATGGAGGAGCAGGGATTGTGGCATGGCCATTCCACATAGGAGTATGCTCTCTTCCTCTTGCTCTCTCTCAGTCTCTCTGGCAAGTGTATATGCTCTCTATCCCGTTCTTCCCCCCCAAAAAAGTTTTAGTATAATATAATATTAATTGATACAAGATAATGTAGACTAGTGTTGCATTGGGCTCACCAAAAACATTTACCTAATCTTGGAATATTAGGGATTAATGGGGGGAGGGAAGGAGTGAATTTTTACTTATTATTCATTAGGTATTATTAAATACATATCCTGTGCCAGAGTTTTGGAGATAGAGCAATGAATAAAATAGTCTTGGTTCCTGATGTGGAGCTTGAAGTCTGTTGAGAATGACAGTTAAGTCCAGGTATTTATTGAGTGACTGTTATGTCAGTATTATCAGACACTTAAGTGTTATTAGAGATGAACAATGACTAAGACAAAGTTCTTGTCCTTATGAGGTGACATTATGGGGAGGAGAAGGTACTGAATCTAGGCAGGGAAATGTATCTTATCTTGAGTTTTAGATTCTATGGGAGAAATAAAAATAGTGCGATAGGAGATAGTGACTGGGTGACTGCTTTAGCGTAGATGATCAAAGAGTTCTCTTGAGAGGTAGCACTTAAGATAAATGTGGTTGACATTTTAGAGGGAGCCATCCTTGTGAGATGCCAGGAATGAGCATCCCAAGCATTGCAAGCATCAGCACAAAGCCTCTTTGGTGTATCTCAGGAACATAAAGGAGGACAATGGCTGGAGTGTCAAGAATGGCATTTATTTAAGTTCTGGTTATATAGGGCAGTGTATGTAAGGTCGTGGTAAAGAATTTAGATCTTACTGTAAATATTGTGGGAAGCTATGAGAACATTGTAAGCAGAGGAATGACATAATCAGATTGGGTTTTAGAAATGTCACTGTAGCCATACTGGGTAATAGCTCACTAGGCTAGAGACAGGGAAGATGGTTAATTTAAGAGTTGGATATAGGCAAGCACTGTTTGTGACTCAAACTAGGTTAAGGCAATATGGGGGAAGATAGGTAGAAAGATTTGAGAGATAACACTTATGTAGTCTTAGCAGTCCATAAATTGGCATTTTTCTGGTATCTAGTCATGTAATTCCATTACTTTTCGTAGTCATTTTCCTTGAATTTTCTAGAAAATAAGTACTTTGATGTCATCTGTGATAACAAAATATTTCTAATTTAATTTTTTTGCACGTTTTCTCTGCTGAAATGTTTAGAATGTTGTCAAATAACGACGATGATGGTACCACTCTTTTTCTTCTGATTTTAATGGGAATGAATGTCCATAGTGTTTGATATTTATGTTGACTCTTTTTTTTTTTTGGAGAGGTTTTTGCTATAGGGCGCATGTGCTCGCCAGACAGAGACAGACAGACAGAAAGCGAGAAATCACCCCCCAAGGGGGATGGCCACGCCACAATCCCCTCTCCTTCATTCTCCTCTCGGGATCTTGGGCACGCACGCACATGTGCCCGGCGTGAGTTTAAGCCACCGGGTCCAGGACTCAAACCGTGGTTGACTACGTGGGAGTCCAGTGACATAGCCATTACGCTAACTGCTGGTCCCCCATTTATGTTGACTCTTGAGTTTGACATTCTTTATCTGGAAAGGTGTCTCTTTTATTTTTAAAAGAGAGAATTAGAAATGGCTCTGGAATTTTGTTAAGGTATAGTTTTTGGGCATACATCAAGAGGACCATACAGTTTTTCTCATTTGATATGTTGCTAACTTATGGTGTTTCCAGCATTAAATATCTTTGCACTTCTGGAATTGGATAGATAGGATTTTAAAAATTAAAAAGATTTATAGTTCATATGCATTTTATGTAGACTTAAATTAGATGGATTTTAAAACTAAGTTGGTTTTACAGTGTTAATGAAGATTCACTTTGTGCTCAAACTCTTAGTATTTACACATGTTTACAGCCTAAAATCACAAGAATTGCAAAATTTTAACACTGGCAGTAGTCTCGGCACATTGGAAATGCTCACACTTTTGCCACCTATTAGTGTTACTGTACCTGGTAGATGGTCCATCATCCTTTGTCAGAGCCTGGGGTTCTTTGACAGCACTAGTCTGAATGGTTTTGGTGACTGTTTTAATGGTTCACATCAATCGTGTTCTCTCTCAGTTATTTGCTAAATGGTAGTGTTCAAACAAGTGTTTAAAAGCATATTCAGGGCCAGCAGGTAGTGTGGAGATTGAGGCGGCTATATCCCACATGGCCGATTGTGTGGTTCTGTTGACTTTTTTTTTTTTTTGGAGAGGTTTTTGCTATAGGGCGCATGTGCTCGCCAGACAGAGACAGACAGACAGAAAGCGAGAAATCACCCCCCAAGGGGGATGGCCACGCCACAATCCCCTCTCCTTCATTCTCCTCTCGGGATCTTGGGCACGCACGCACATGTGCCCGGCGTGAGTTTAAGCCACCGGGTCCAGGACTCAAACCGTGGTTGACTACGTGGGAGTCCAGTGACATAGCCATTACGCTAACTGCTGGTCCCCCATTTATGTTGACTCTTGAGTTTGACATTCTTTATCTGGAAAGGTGTCTCTTTTATTTTTAAAAGAGAGAATTAGAAATGGCTCTGGAATTTTGTTAAGGTATAGTTTTTGGGCATACATCAAGAGGACCATACAGTTTTTCTCATTTGATATGTTGCTAACTTATGGTGTTTCCAGCATTAAATATCTTTGCACTTCTGGAATTGGATAGATAGGATTTTAAAAATTAAAAAGATTTATAGTTCATATGCATTTTATGTAGACTTAAATTAGATGGATTTTAAAACTAAGTTGGTTTTACAGTGTTAATGAAGATTCACTTTGTGCTCAAACTCTTAGTATTTACACATGTTTACAGCCTAAAATCACAAGAATTGCAAAATTTTAACACTGGCAGTAGTCTCGGCACATTGGAAATGCTCACACTTTTGCCACCTATTAGTGTTACTGTACCTGGTAGATGGTCCATCATCCTTTGTCAGAGCCTGGGGTTCTTTGACAGCACTAGTCTGAATGGTTTTGGTGACTGTTTTAATGGTTCACATCAATCGTGTTCTCTCTCAGTTATTTGCTAAATGGTAGTGTTCAAACAAGTGTTTAAAAGCATATTCAGGGCCAGCAGGTAGTGTGGAGATTGAGGCGGCTATATCCCACATGGCCGATTGTGTGGTTCGAGCCCCAGACCTGGCAGCAGGATGATTACTTTAGCATAGGTGATTGATCAAAGAGAACTCTTGAAGAGGTAACATTTAAGATAAATGTGATTGGGACCAGTAGGTGGCATAATGGTTAAGGCACTGGATTCCCACATGGCTGACTGCAGTTCGAATCCCGGACTTGGGGTCTTGAAACTCACGCTGGTGATTATGCTTGTGTGTCCAAGCTCCTGGGAGGAGAAGGGATTATGGCATGACCATTCCCCCTGCGGGCGATTTCTTGTTTTCTATCTGTTTCTCTGTCTCCAGTGAGTGCACATGCCCTATACCAAAAATCTCTAAAAACAATAAAAAAGAGGGACCCGCAGATGGTGTAGTGGTTTTGTAGCTGGACTTTGACATGGCTGACCTTGATTCAAATCCTGGACCCGGTGGCTTGAAACTCACACCGAGCAAGTATGAATGCATGCCCCAAATTCC